TTCTCTGCCTGTGCTTCGCTGTCTGAACCCATCGGTTATTTTCTCCACCTTTGTTTCGTTTACTCCACACCTCTTGCTCGTTTTCTTCATCCCTAAATCGTTGTCTCCGCCACGATGTCTTGCCCAGCCCTCGTCTGATGCCCCTCCCTCAGCCCTCAGGGTGCGGCCTGTTCTTCCCCAGGCTTCCGTCCGCGCCCGGCCCTCCCCGCCTCGCCGTCGCCCGTTGCGGTCGCTTTCCCTCCCCGCCAGCTCCTTCCCCAGACCCCCTCGAGTAATGAAAAAATCATGACGGGATGTTTCTCCTACTTTTCGGCCTCCGGGGGCCCTCACCGGGCCTCGGGAGCGTCAACAAAACGACTCGGGATGAAAAACCGGTCATGGGGAAAGGGTCTTGACCTCTGGGGGTCGCGTCATGAAAAAATCTTGACCTCGCTGCTCTCTGCTCCTCGCTGCTCCTCTGCTCCTCTGCTGCCCTCGCTGCTCCTCGCTGCTCCTCGCTGCTCCTCTGGGGGTCTGGGTCTCTCCTCGCTGCTCCTCTGCTGCACTGGCCGCCAGTCGCCTGGCCCTCCTCTCCTCTTGGCCCTGCCGGCGTCTGCCGGCTCCGCGCTGGGGCCCGAGCCTCCCAGCGATTCGGCCGGCCACCGCCGGGGTGCGGCCCTGCCTCGTCTCCGTGGGGCCCGAGCCTGCGACCTGTGCGCGGGCTGGGGCTGCCATGGACCGGAGGCTTTGGGCCTGGAGGAGGATTTTTTTTTGTCAGCGATCCCCTGGGGGCACAGATGACCGATGACGACCAGCCCTCAGCCGCTGAGCGCCATAAACATACAGCTCGGCGACCGAGGGACAGCGAGCGGGAAGAAAAGGACGGTCCCGTAGAACCCCAGATCTAGCCCAGCACGCCATCCGACAAAACTTGGTCAAGTTGCATCTCGCGAGGACGCAGCAGCAGGCCTTGCCGCCGCCGACGCCTCGCGGGCCTGAATGCGCGCCAGGAGCGCAGCCATCCCTGCCGTCTCTATCAGCCCAGACGACGAGCGAGGCAGGCTGACGTCGTGCGGAGGAGGCCGCTGGGACGCGTAGCAGAAGTACGCTACTCCGCGCCTCGAAGACTCACTTACCGTGGTGCTTTCACGGTAGTGAGGATAAACACATGAAAAAGTACGCCTCAGCGTGGTGGAACCTCCAGCCAGCCTACGCTGGATACACTCCTTACCGAGCATGTGGCAGCGCGCGGAGGAATACGCTCCGCACGTAGTACAGAAAAAGAGGGGGAGCCGCTGCCCACCCTTGCTTGCAATGCAATGCGCCAGGGAGTACCCCAGGGACCTATCGAGGACACCGCGCCACAGCCTACTGGGTCCTTTACATCCCAACATGGGTCGCGCCTCCAGGTCCGTGGAAAGACAAAGGCAATGCAAACAGCGAGCGCAACCCTGACCGAGCTCCTGCCAGGAATGCCAACCTCCCGATTTTAACAACTTAGCCCTCGGCCCTGTGGGCGGGCGATCAAATCTCTCAGAAGGAAAAGTCGCCAGCACGGTGCCAGCCACTCTCGCCGCGAAGACGAGCAAATCACACTTCCTGTCCACCTCCATTCTTTCATGCACACTAGGTTGAGGATGGAGGAGGAGAGCTTGCTTGGCCAAGGCGTCAGCTTTCAAGTTGCCTATGCCAATCCGTCTCTCTCGTGCGGGCAGGGCGTCCAAAACAGCGCGAGAGCGGTGCGCAGGAGTGTGGTACACCGATGGGCTCGGGCACGCTTCATGTAGAAGGGCACCTCTCCGAAGGCCAGCATAACGATGTTTATGGAAGACCTTGTACTCTCTCGAAGCCACACAGATGCGCACCACATTCATGCAATCGGTGTGGCGCTCGCCGCCGTTGCTCTGAAACATCGGGAGCAAGGCCATGCACAGATGCTCCGCAGCTTGGGATGTCTGCGGAAGAACTGAAAGGACCGTGCCTTTGGCATACGCTATGATAGTGTCCCCTTCGCCCAGGAAGACCCAAGAGAACGCCGCCCTGGAAAGCTCCCTGACGGTGTGACGAAAAGCAGAGCCGTCCATGACGACATCGCAACCAGAAAGATCCACGGACCCGCAATCAATGATGTCCCCTTCGGGCGAGTAAAGGATGGGCTGGGTGGCCGACGACAGAGGAGGGTAGTAGGCCTCAGGATGCTCCCATTTTCACTCGTCGAAAAACAAACGGTCCTGACTTTCAAGAGCCTCGTCCAGCCATTCGACGGGAGCCTCGTCCGTGACGCTTTTCCGAGCCGCCACGGCCTCGGGATAAAGGCACTGCCAAACACGGTGCCGAACACTATCGGGCATTCCGCACTTCGGGCATCGCACGTCGCACGCATATACCGCAGCCTGCGCCCTCGAGCGAGTCCACACCCCCTTGCAGAAGACACTCAAACCTTTGCTGAGGGTTGAGTTTCCTCCCCCTGGGACCCAACAAGGTTTTGAGGGGATCGACGCAAAAACGAACACCGTCGGAC